GCCCGGGGGGGGGCCTGGCCCAGGGCAGGGCTCAAATCCCACTTCCTAGTGCACCCCTTGTGAGCAGCACGCCCTTCCCTGCAGCGCTGATAGCGTGGCTCTCGCTCCTTCCCTCCTTCCCTCCTTCCCTTTCAGATTTCCTTTTGACCCCGATTATTTATTCAGCAGAGCCCAGCAGGGGATGTGAGCACAGAGCCAAAAATACTCTCCTTGCGTGGGGAGGGCCGGCCGGCCACGCCGAGGGTGATTGATTGGGGCCGGCGCTGCAGGCCTCTGGGAAGAGTTATTTTTATCTTGCTCTGAGCAAAGTTTTTCTATCCCCTTGCTGCAAACAGAGTGCTCCGTGGGCAGGGCCGGGGCTCGGCGTGGTGCTCGGGGGAGGTGCAGCCCTGCTGAAACCTGCCGGCAGTGTGCTGGCCTGGAGGCAGAGCTGGTGCTGCACTGAGATGGGGGTTCCTGGGCAGCCCGAGACCCCACCCAGTGGAGCAGTGCCTGCGCTGTGCGGGCAGCAGCACCCCCAGGAGAAGGCAGCTGCAGAAGGCAAGCAAGCAAGAGCCAGCTGGGAATACATCCTGCCTGCTTTACATGCACCTCCAGAGAGCTGGGGCTTGGGTTAGCCAGAGCGTGCAGGGCTGCCTGGAGTGCTGCCAGCACTGGTTGCTTGTAGTCCCTGCAGACTCCACAACTCTACACATTTATCATTGTTGCACACCTAGGACAGAGCCTGAAATGCAGTGTGCAGGGATCTGGCATCCCCTGCTCTGCCTGGAGGAGCCAGAGAGATGGGACAGTGAGCAAGGACAGCAAGTGCTTCAGGCACGGGCATCACCTGTCCCAGCCAGAGGCTGGACTCGTGTTGGGTGGTTACATCAGGGACCACAAGAGCTGAACACGACTGGGAGACCAAGGGCCTCTCTTCTACCTTCTTACTTTTGGGGTTTTTTTAATGCTAGAAGTTGTCCCCACGATGAAATCGTTTCATCTGAGTGCTGCTCAAGGACGCAGTCTCTCCTCTTTCCAGCTCAGTATTTGAACTTCAGTGGTGACTGGCATTTGATTGATGTTGCCATCTCTTTCTACTCCACCTCTGTCAAAGCAAAGCTGCCTTCACAGTGCTGCTGCTGCAGAGACTCGAGCAGAAACACTGCTGAGCAGCCGTCCCAGGGCGGAGGGATGGTGGGTGGAGGGCAGGGGTGGCTGGCAGCCTCAGATCAGCACCATCGTTTGGTCTTCAAAACATGCCAGCTGCTTCTCAAACTGCAAAGGGGCTTTTTTGTGCCTGTTTGTCCCTGCGCTTCAGCAGCAGCACCAGGGGAACGAGTGGTGAAGTATTTGGGAAGCAGGAGCTACTCTTCTGTTACGTGCTTCCCTGTCTCACATGAAAAACACATTTCAGCTGCTTCCTAATTGCTGCCCAGCCACGTGGCTTTGAAGGTCACGCTGGGCATCCGGGCTCTGGTTTCCTGCCTGGTGGTGCTGTGGGACAGAGCTGCCAGCACCCAGCTGGTCTGGAGCTGTTTGATCCTAACCTCCTTTTTGCCTTCCCTCCACCTCTGTGCCCTGCAGATTCAGAGGATGATGGGGAGTCAGAGGCAGCGAAGCAACTGATTCAGCCCATAGCTGAAAAAATCATCGCCAAGTACAAAGCCAAAGATGAGGAAGCACCGTTGCTCTTCTTCGTGGCAGGAGAGGTGAGTGAGAGGCAGGGCAGGGCTGCATCCTGCTCTCTTCCTGAGCTGGGTCAGGTACCTGCTGTTCCTGCTTGGATAAACTGAAGCATGAAGCTAGTCAGGGACCATGCAGCAAAACCAGACCTGAGCCCTGGCTCAGTCCCCTGCTCTCGTTGCTGGAAGTTACTTCTGGCAAAGGGGTCCCACCTGGGTTTGCTCAGAGGTGGAAAATGTTGGTGACGGGCAAGGGAGCTGCTGGGGACAGGCAGAGAGGGGCTGGGGGAGGGAGGAGGGAGCTGCCAGCTGCCCTCTCAAACCCAGAGGCTGCATGGGCAGGGATGCTGGCTGGGCAGGGAGCGAGGAGACAGGTTTTGGGGTTCAGCCCAGTGTAGCCAGTGCTGCCCTCCTTGCTGAGGTGCTGCTACCTTCCTTCCCAGCCCAGGGGAGCACAGGGACTGGTGCTCCAGTCTCTTCCCAGAGCTCAGCAGCCCTGGCCCCACTGGGCCCAATTCTGTGCTGTGCCAGCCAAAAGCAGCCCTGGGAGCTGGCAGGGACTGCTCGAGGAGCAGCAGGGGTGACAAGGGGCTGTGCTCCCACGGCCAGACACAGTGTGAGGGTCCCAGCTCTGCTCTGCCCTGGGGCTCAGCTTGGCACATCGTTGCAGCATGGGGCATGTGCACACTGCAGTGCTCGGAAACCAGACATCTGCTGGAGAAAATGGAAAATGGGAAAATAGGGCATCTGGTCTCCCTTTTCCCCACGCAGGCCATCTTGAAAATGATTTAGGTTTTGTGCAAGAGTCAAAAAATCTCTGGGCCCTGCCCAGGCCTGCAGCTGCCCTCCCAAGGAGCTCGTC